AACAGAAATCTAGCAACAAGAAACTACAGGATTATTGCAATGACTACTAATAGGAAAGGATAATCAAGAACATCTGCAACACCAATACATGTGGCCACCAATACGACTACTAATAGGAAAGGATAAAAAATGAAGTCATGCCCCATCAGAGAATACAACAACAACATAATAGCCGGTGTAATCCACAAAGTAGTATCTGGGGAGGGTAGGTGTAAGCAGATCTTACACTACCTATGGATCCTCGGGACAAGAAAAAAAAACAGTTGGGAAAAGGAAATAACAAAAATGAAGAAACCACGGCAAAATACTATAGAAAGTGTGACCAAACATTCTAAACAATAACTACAACTAAAAATATGACAATCGAAGTACAAGAAGCGACAGTAACAGTAACAGAAATCTAGCAACAAGAAACTACAGGATTATTGCAATGACTACTAATAGGAAAGGATAATCAAGAACATCTGCAACACCAATACATGTGGCCACCAATACGACTACTAATAGGAAAGGATAAAAAATGAAGTCATGCCCCATCAGAGAATACAACAACAACATAATAGCCGGTGTAATCCACAAAGTAGTATCTGGGGAGGGTAGGTGTAAGCAGATCTTACACTACCTATGGATCCTCGGGACAAGAAAAAAAAACAGTTGGGAAAAGGAAATAACAAAAATGAAGAAACCACGGCAAAATACTATAGAAAGTGTGACCAAACATTCTAAACAATAACTACAACTAAAAATATGACAATCGAAGTACAAGAAGCGACAGTAACAGTAACAGAAATCTAGCAACAAGAAACTACAGGATTATTGCAATGACTACTAATAGGAAAGGATAATCAAGAACATCTGCAACACCAATACATGTGGCCACCAATACGACTACTAATAGGAAAGGATAAAAAATGAAGTCATGCCCCATCAGAGAATACAACAACAACATAATAGCCGGTGTAATCCACAAAGTAGTATCTGGGGAGGGTAGGTGTAAGCAGATCTTACACTACCTATGGATCCTCGGGACAAGAAAAAAAAACAGTTGGGAAAAGGAAATAACAAAAATGAAGAAACCACGGCAAAATACTATAGAAAGTGTGACCAAACATTCTAAACAATAACTACAACTAAAAATATGACAATCGAAGTACAAGAAGCGACAGTAACAGTAACAGAAATCTAGCAACAAGAAACTACAGGATTATTGCAATGACTACTAATAGGAAAGGATAATCAAGAACATCTGCAACACCAATACATGTGGCCACCAATACGACTACTAATAGGAAAGGATAAAAAATGAAGTCATGCCCCATCAGAGAATACAACAACAACATAATAGCCGGTGTAATCCACAAAGTAGTATCTGGGGAGGGTAGGTGTAAGCAGATCTTACACTACCTATGGATCCTCGGGACAAGAAAAAAAAACAGTTGGGAAAAGGAAATAACAAAAATGAAGAAACCACGGCAAAATACTATAGAAAGTGTGACCAAACATTCTAAACAATAACTACAACTAAAAATATGACAATCGAAGTACAAGAAGCGACAGTAACAGTAACAGAAATCTAGCAACAAGAAACTACAGGATTATTGCAATGACTACTAATAGGAAAGGATAATCAAGAACATCTGCAACACCAATACATGTGGCCACCAATACGACTACTAATAGGAAAGGATAAAAAATGAAGTCATGCCCCATCAGAGAATACAACAACAACATAATAGCCGGTGTAATCCACAAAGTAGTATCTGGGGAGGGTAGGTGTAAGCAGATCTTACACTACCTATGGATCCTCGGGACAAGAAAAAAAAACAGTTGGGAAAAGGAAATAACAAAAATGAAGAAACCACGGCAAAATACTATAGAAAGTGTGACCAAACATTCTAAACAATAACTACAACTAAAAATATGACAATCGAAGTACAAGAAGCGACAGTAACAGTAACAGAAATCTAGCAACAAGAAACTACAGGATTATTGCAATGACTACTAATAGGAAAGGATAATCAAGAACATCTGCAACACCAATACATGTGGCCACCAATACGACTACTAATAGGAAAGGATAAAAAATGAAGTCATGCCCCATCAGAGAATACAACAACAACATAATAGCCGGTGTAATCCACAAAGTAGTATCTGGGGAGGGTAGGTGTAAGCAGATCTTACACTACCTATGGATCCTCGGGACAAGAAAAAAAAACAGTTGGGAAAAGGAAATAACAAAAATGAAGAAACCACGGCAAAATACTATAGAAAGTGTGACCAAACATTCTAAACAATAACTACAACTAAAAATATGACAATCGAAGTACAAGAAGCGACAGTAACAGTAACAGAAATCTAGCAACAAGAAACTACAGGATTATTGCAATGACTACTAATAGGAAAGGATAATCAAGAACATCTGCAACACCAATACATGTGGCCACCAATACGACTACTAATAGGAAAGGATAAAAAATGAAGTCATGCCCCATCAGAGAATACAACAACAACATAATAGCCGGTGTAATCCACAAAGTAGTATCTGGGGAGGGTAGGTGTAAGCAGATCTTACACTACCTATGGATCCTCGGGACAAGAAAAAAAAACAGTTGGGAAAAGGAAATAACAAAAATGAAGAAACCACGGCAAAATACTATAGAAAGTGTGACCAAACATTCTAAACAATAACTACAACTAAAAATATGACAATCGAAGTACAAGAAGCGACAGTAACAGTAACAGAAATCTAGCAACAAGAAACTACAGGATTATTGCAATGACTACTAATAGGAAAGGATAATCAAGAACATCTGCAACACCAATACATGTGGCCACCAATACGACTACTAATAGGAAAGGATAAAAAATGAAGTCATGCCCCATCAGAGAATACAACAACAACATAATAGCCGGTGTAATCCACAAAGTAGTATCTGGGGAGGGTAGGTGTAAGCAGATCTTACACTACCTATGGATCCTCGGGACAAGAAAAAAAAACAGTTGGGAAAAGGAAATAACAAAAATGAAGAAACCACGGCAAAATACTATAGAAAGTGTGACCAAACATTCTAAACAATAACTACAACTAAAAATATGACAATCGAAGTACAAGAAGCGACAGTAACAGTAACAGAAATCTAGCAACAAGAAACTACAGGATTATTGCAATGACTACTAATAGGAAAGGATAATCAAGAACATCTGCAACACCAATACATGTGGCCACCAATACGACTACTAATAGGAAAGGATAAAAAATGAAGTCATGCCCCATCAGAGAATACAACAACAACATAATAGCCGGTGTAATCCACAAAGTAGTATCTGGGGAGGGTAGGTGTAAGCAGATCTTACACTACCTATGGATCCTCGGGACAAGAAAAAAAAACAGTTGGGAAAAGGAAATAACAAAAATGAAGAAACCACGGCAAAATACTATAGAAAGTGTGACCAAACATTCTAAACAATAACTACAACTAAAAATATGACAATCGAAGTACAAGAAGCGACAGTAACAGTAACAGAAATCTAGCAACAAGAAACTACAGGATTATTGCAATGACTACTAATAGGAAAGGATAATCAAGAACATCTGCAACACCAATACATGTGGCCACCAATACGACTACTAATAGGAAAGGATAAAAAATGAAGTCATGCCCCATCAGAGAATACAACAACAACATAATAGCCGGTGTAATCCACAAAGTAGTATCTGGGGAGGGTAGGTGTAAGCAGATCTTACACTACCTATGGATCCTCGGGACAAGAAAAAAAAACAGTTGGGAAAAGGAAATAACAAAAATGAAGAAACCACGGCAAAATACTATAGAAAGTGTGACCAAACATTCTAAACAATAACTACAACTAAAAATATGACAATCGAAGTACAAGAAGCGACAGTAACAGTAACAGAAATCTAGCAACAAGAAACTACAGGATTATTGCAATGACTACTAATAGGAAAGGATAATCAAGAACATCTGCAACACCAATACATGTGGCCACCAATACGACTACTAATAGGAAAGGATAAAAAATGAAGTCATGCCCCATCAGAGAATACAACAACAACATAATAGCCGGTGTAATCCACAAAGTAGTATCTGGGGAGGGTAGGTGTAAGCAGATCTTACACTACCTATGGATCCTCGGGACAAGAAAAAAAAACAGTTGGGAAAAGGAAATAACAAAAATGAAGAAACCACGGCAAAATACTATAGAAAGTGTGACCAAACATTCTAAACAATAACTACAACTAAAAATATGACAATCGAAGTACAAGAAGCGACAGTAACAGTAACAGAAATCTAGCAACAAGAAACTACAGGATTATTGCAATGACTACTAATAGGAAAGGATAATCAAGAACATCTGCAACACCAATACATGTGGCCACCAATACGACTACTAATAGGAAAGGATAAAAAATGAAGTCATGCCCCATCAGAGAATACAACAACAACATAATAGCCGGTGTAATCCACAAAGTAGTATCTGGGGAGGGTAGGTGTAAGCAGATCTTACACTACCTATGGATCCTCGGGACAAGAAAAAAAAACAGTTGGGAAAAGGAAATAACAAAAATGAAGAAACCACGGCAAAATACTATAGAAAGTGTGACCAAACATTCTAAACAATAACTACAACTAAAAATATGACAATCGAAGTACAAGAAGCGACAGTAACAGTAACAGAAATCTAGCAACAAGAAACTACAGGATTATTGCAATGACTACTAATAGGAAAGGATAATCAAGAACATCTGCAACACCAATACATGTGGCCACCAATACGACTACTAATAGGAAAGGATAAAAAATGAAGTCATGCCCCATCAGAGAATACAACAACAACATAATAGCCGGTGTAATCCACAAAGTAGTATCTGGGGAGGGTAGGTGTAAGCAGATCTTACACTACCTATGGATCCTCGGGACAAGAAAAAAAAACAGTTGGGAAAAGGAAATAACAAAAATGAAGAAACCACGTGTTTTACATACTAGGACTGTGACTAATCTGAGCTTTGTTAGAGCTAAGGAATTGATGGTTAGCTTAAGCAAAATACAAGTTGTTCCTGTGATTATAGCTGATGTGAACCTATGTTTGATACATTATAGGATAAATTTGATAGTGATGACATGAATAGTCATCGAGATCATGTTTTGGGGTGGATGAAAGAGTTATGGAATAAATGGAGAGGTCAATTGCATGCAAACTATGTGAAGGGTAAGCCTATACAAGAGGCTCTTAAGAATATGCCTAAGGGGGTAGAAAAGAAGCAATAGGCGTGGTTGGTAAAAGAACATTTTACTTCAAAAGATTTTCAGGTTTGACATATTACCTAATTATGTAATTTGTTTCATACTATGATCTCATTTTGATAATTTATTTATAACATTTGAATTTAATGTTGTTACTCAAATATAGGTGAGAAGCAATAGAAATGTAGTAAATAGAGCTAAGCTGAAGATGCTTCATCATATTGGTAGCAAGCCAATTAGAGAGATTATTTATCAAAAGGTGTTATCATCAAATCTTTTTCTATTTTAATGTTGATGAACCATTCTTTGACATGTTTACTTTTATGTAAAGGGAGGAAAAGATGGCAATCCACCAGATTTGGCAACTATCTTTTACGAGACTCGCAAGAAGAATAACACACTTGTTAATTCTGAAACAATCGAGAATCATGTGCGTTTGGTTAATTGAACATTTTCTTAACATTTAGTTATTTGTACATGTTCTTAACATCTAGTTATTATGGGATTTGAAAAAAATCTTCTTTATACACTTTGTAGGCTCAAATTCAAGAATTAGTGGAGTCTGAACCATCACTTTCTAGCATAGAAATTGTTGAGAAATGCTTTGGACCTCAAAGTCGTAGTCATGTATTTGGCTTTGGAGGTGGAGTAAAAGCAAGAGATTTGAAAGGTGGGGCTTCCTCAAAACCCGAATTGTTGGCTGAGCTACGTTCAACTAAAAAAGAAAATCAATCTTTGAAGGATTGCATATCTAACTTTCAAAATGAGATGAAAGAACTGAAGCAATTGAAAGAATTTTTTTTAGCGCAACACCCTAATTTCCAGCCTCCAATTCAAGAGAATGACTATTCGGATACTTGATGATACCATGTGAGTAAAAACTTACCTGAAACATCATTTTATTGTGCTGGTTCTGCGTAGCGAAGCTATTAGTTGTTGGTTGTTCTATCGTAAAATATAATTGTGTGTTTGATATATATTATAAAAGTAGTTGAATGATTATGCGTGCTGTAACAGTTTCATGTAAAATTAAAGTGGTTGACATGCTACATACTATGATTTCGATCTTACATCTTAAGGTTTTTGTTGGGTCGTTCAAAGTGGCTTTGAGTAAGGTGTGAGTACATTGTCCTAGTTGTATCTGTGAGAGTGAAAATGTAATCGTATACAGTACATATAGTGGTTCATGTTTTCGTGTATACCTTTAGACTTCCCCTGTTGTTTAGAACATGTACAATGTAACTCTATATTTTTTTCAGCACACTAACTCCTGATGAAATTTTGCAGAGAAAAAGGGACTTTTGACTATTTAAGGATTTTCAAGTGAGGACAAGAAACTCATTTAGAACATGTAAGATTCTTCTATTCCAGCTCTTCTCTACTCCTGTGATAAAAATTTAATGCTCT